TAAAAGCGGCTATTATAAATTACAAGTTCTGGAATGTGGATCGTTGGATTCTATGCCATGTAAATTTTGTGAAAAGCTAAAGTAATTTAGTTTAAATATATTATTTGTGAGGAAATTACCACTGTTCGGTTGGTTGTGCCGTATTATTTATCAATATGGAGATTTCTGTTTTATGGATATTGCTATTGAAGGTAAGATGTACAATTTACGCAACGTGGCACGTTTTTATAAATTTAATAAATGTCAAACGGTGAGTGTGCGTCTTTTTAGTAATAAAACAGAAATAAATTTCTGTTGTTATTGCTGGATTTACGCTCTATTTTCCCGTTTATATTCATATTGGGCGCTGACTACTGGGTATTTATAAATGACGACATTACATTTGCCTTTCCGTATACGATAGATTAAGGTCCGTATTTTTATTTCATTAAATTCAACTTTATATATATATGGTACGCAATACAAAAGACACGTAAGAGAAACGTAGATCATAGCGAGCACACACGCCTGTCTAAAAACCTGTCTTTAATTATACAAAACCTGCGTAAAACACACGGTCAAATGATAAATCGCACGGTAAAACACTTTTATTTCCCAAAGTTTGATTTAACACGTACGTGTCAGATAAAGCCTGTTGGTCCTTGATTATACTCCTTTTGATGCAGTTATCGCAACTAGCGAGAAAACACGCCAATTAAACAATACACAACATCGACATTCATTTTTTACCGGTCGGTTAATTAACACACCTCTACTGAAAACGCACTGTCGCACAGTTTTTCACCCCTAGCGTTAATTATCTCACCTCCCAGACAGTTTTTCACCCTTGTTAATTAACACACCTTATTTACAGTTTTAACGCGGTAATACCGAGGAATAGTCGGAAAATTAATTTTCTTTCGATACACGTACAAATAACAACTATGACTGAGATTTATATGGTGTCTGTGCACAGATTCATCCTTTAGCAGTTCTCAGTGTATGTTTGTAAAAACTTTGGCCATACGACAACAAAAATTTCCTGGCTTACATCAGATGAACATTCAAAACTAACGTGAAATAACCATAATAACTAATGTTTTCAAAACGTTATCGTTAACGTTTTCAATACGTTAACATTAATGTTCAGTAAACTGACAGACAAAATGGCCAACCCTCGTTCTCAAATAGCGTAAAAATATGGTATATCAAGGTTGTGGACCCTATAGAGGTCACAATTTTTATCCGATTTTGTTGAAACTTGAAATGTAAGTTTATAACCCAAAGATTGCGGTTCCGTTCGATATTTGCGTTATCGAATTGTAATTTCCTGAATTATGGCCCTTGATTGTAGGAAAAATGACTTTCTTTTTAGCTTGTTACACCCTAGGATTGTTGAATTCGAATTTCTTAAAAATCGGACCAAAACTGAAAGACAAAATGGCCGCCCCTCGTTCGCAAATAGTGTCAAAATATTGTGTACCAGGGTTGTGGATCCTTTGAAGGTGACAATTGTCATCTGATTTTGATGAAATTTTAAATGCATGATTATAACCCAAATATCTTGGTTCTTTTCTATTTTCATGCATATCGAATCGTAACTTCACAAATTATGGCCCCTGATTTTACGAGAAATTATGTTTTTAGCTTGTGGTCCCTCTAGAGGTCACAATTATTATCCGATTTAAAAAAACTTTCGAATATATCACCGTTACACCATAATTTTGTCTGCGGTTGAGTTTCATGAAAATCGGGCCAAAATTGCCAGACAAAATGGCCACCCCTCGTACGCAAATAGTGTAAACATCTGGTACCGGTATATCAAAGTTGTGGACCCTGTAGAGGCCACAATTTTGATCCGATTTCGATGAAACTTGAAATGCAAGTTTATAACCCAAAGATCTCAGTTCCTTTCAATATTCGCGCATATCAGAACGTAACTTCCTCAATTATTGCCTCTGGTTGTACGAAAAATCGCATTTTTAGCTTGTGGTTCCTCTAGAGGTCACAATTATTATTCGATTTAAAAAAACGTTCTAATATATCACCGTTACACCGTAATGTTGGTTGACTTCGAATTTCATGAAAATTGGGCCAAAACTGTTGGACAAAATGGCCGCCACTCTTACGCAAATAGTGTAATCTTCTAGTAAATCAAGGTTGTGGACCCTCTAGAGGTCACAATTTTGATCCGATTTCGATGAAACTTGAAATACTTGTTTATAACCCAAAGATATTGGTTCCTGTCGATATTCGCGCATATTGGATCGTAACTTCCTGAATTATGGCCCTTGATTGAAAAAAAAATCACGTTTTTAGCTTGTGGTCCCTGTAGAGGTCACAATTTTTATCCGATTTAAAAATACGTGTGAATATATCACCATTACACACTAAGATCTTGGTTCCTTTTGATAATCGCGGATACCCGAACTTATCTTCCTAGACTATGGCCCCTGATTGTTCAAAAAATCGCATTTTTAGCTTGCGGATTCTCTAGATTTAACAATTTTTTTTGCGATTTTAAAAACCGTTAAAATACATCACCATTCCACCATAATCAAGATTAAGTCGTATTTCAGGAAAATCAAAATGAAAATGGCCGCTCTTTGTATGCAAATTGTGTAAAAGTGTGTAATACGAAGGTTGTGGACCCTCTAGAGGTCACAATTTTTATCCGATTTTGATGAAACTTAAAACATATCTTTATATCCCAAAGATCTCAGTCCCTTTTGATATTTGCACATTTCAGGCCATAACTTTCTCGATTTTTGCCCCTGATTGTACTAAAAATCGTGTTTGTTTTTAGCTTGTTCGCTATCCATCTGTTGCAAAATGTGGGCGTATCCTGCCTGGCAGCCGCTGGTTGAAGAGTATATAATATTATCAAACCAGCTGAGGTCATAAAGTTCTAAGCACCTAATGATCATCAATTTGATGAAAGTTATAGAGTACTTTGTCACAATGTTTCTTCAAAGGTTCACAAGTTCGTCGCCGTAAATGGACTCGTATCTGGTATTTCATCAATGTAATTTTGATGAGATCCTTTATTTCATCAAGTCAGTCGAACAATGTTCTTCAGGCATAAAAAAAAAATACATTATGATGTAGAATTCTATTCAGCGACTCCTGGAATTTGGTAATGTATAATGGCCCTTGATCACTTTGAAATATCTTATGGACGCTCTAGAGGCTGAAGTTAATATCCGATTAACTTCAGATTTATATACAGTGTTTAAGGTCATGATACAAAAAAGCCCAGTGATTTTCAATGATTTGTGATAATTACTACCAGAGTTATGGCCCTTGATCACTTTGAAATATCTTGTGGACGCTCTAGAGGCTAAATTTATACACAGTGTTTAAGGTCGTGAGATGAAGAAGCCCAGTGATTTTCAATGGTTTCCGATAATTACTACCAGAGTTAAGGCCCTTGATAACTTTGAAAAATCTTGTGGATGCTCTAGAGACCAAAGTTATTATCCGATTGACATTAGATTGATAAACAGAGGTTATGGTCTTGAGACCAGCAAGTATATTGATTTTCAATGAATTTTGATAACTTGAACAGCTGAATTCATGATATTAAACGTTTCGTATACTAAACGTTAGCATGGGGCAGAACTAAAAGCCAAACAAATTCTAATGATTTTCTGATGAGTTTTTACTCTTAATCAGATTTTAGTGTATTGTAAATGTTTCATTACTGAAAAAAGTAAAAATATGCGACAACTTTTGTTGACTGCCCGGCCGATTTAGCTGCTGTGGGCGTATGTTTCGTTGCCTGGCAACCTATCTTTTTCATTATACTGTACAGTTTGAAATCGTTCGTGACATGTCTGAAGCTTATCCAATCGGCCTATAAACCATTCCATGGAACAGAAACTGCACTGAATTGCGTGCTTAATAAAGTTAATACAGTTGTTGATAAAGAAAATGCAGCTTTGTTGATATTGCTGGACTTGTCCGCTGCATTCGACACTATTGATCCTAATGTTCTTATCATCCGTCCCCATGATGAGTGTGGATTAAGAGGTGTGGTATTAAACTGGTTTTCATCATATCTATCAGGCAGAAGCCAATCTGTTATTATCAGAGACTCATATTCCTCGTCTGTCTCGCTGAATTGTGGTGTCGCAAGGATCCGTATTGGGCCCAATTCTTTTTACCATGTATACTAGTCAACTAGGCCAGATTATAAATGGTTTTCAGCTGTCACACCATTTATGTGCTGATGACACCCAGCTAATTGAGAGCTTGCCTGTACTTTCTCATAATCAAAGCCTGAATAACATTCAAGCATGCATTGCTGATGTAAAATCGTGGATGTCATGCAATCAATTAAAACTGAATGATGACAAGACAGAGGCCATTCTCATCGGTCCAAAATCACAAATTTCCAAGATGTCTGTAGATCATGTTCATGTTGGTGAAGTACAGATTGCGTTCTGTGAAAAAATAAAAAAGTTTGAAAGGAATGGACCAAATCAATGAGGCATAATTATAGCTGACTTCTTGTTAGCCTGTGTGTACTCTTGTACTGTAACTGGTAGGCCTACAAGTACGTAACTCCCGAAGCAGACAAATAGGACAGTGATCCAATGGGGCTGCAATTCAACTGGGGTGACAAACTCTCATTTTAACCACAACTAAACATAATATCAAGGCCGTATATGTATATATCGAACTTTCAATCAAATTGTCTGACATGCGGCCTCGCTCAACAGCGGCCTCGCTTTGTACACTCTATCATTTTGCCTCGATCTAAAATTTCCGGGAGTATGACGTCAACTTAACTGTTAATCTCCTCTTACGACGCCATTTAAAAATTTAATCAATCAATGAAATCCTGTTTAAATCCAAGCCATCCGTGGGTCTACAGAGTTGATTTTGTGCTTGTTGTGTAAATAAAGATCTAATTTATAATTTCTATGACATCTGAAGCCTAAATAAAGACTTGCAATAATCAGATTTAGCTCTTGCATAATGTATGTTTAATCGATATTCAATAATAAAAATTCCAGATTAAAGATATATTGATGAAAGAAGCCCATTCCATGCCTACTGCTACTTCATCAGAATTTTTAAGGAAAGCTTTAAGAGAGAAACAGTTAAAAAGAAATGGTAAGCTTGATTGATTTCTGTTAATTTGTAAGAAAATTGTGTAATAATTCCCAAAATTTATTTTAAAATACACATGAATATTTTGGATAGCCCAGACATATAGTCGAATGCAAAGATTATTCCAAAGTTTCAACAATACTAATTGTATAACTATCCATTACTGTTTGCCATATTTTGTTGCAGTTAATATACCAATGCAGCCTGAATGGTTGTTCCAAAGACCAGCTCTGACATTAGATTTTATGGTTGGGGTAGATGAACAGACAGATCCGGTAAAATTGTTATCCTTATAATTTGGTTTTTGATGGCTTTCGGTCTTTCAGTCTTTCAAATGATTTTGATCTTTCAAATGATTTTGATATTTTGAAAACTTTCATCATCCTGAAAACACAAATTTTTACATGCCTAAGAGTCATTCCACGAGAAAACCATGAAATATCATGCAGATGTTCGAAGGTGGAGGTTGGTTGATTGAGTTCATATTCACAGGGTTTGGTCGACCCATCAAGCCTACTCTCCAGCCAAAACTGCCGATTTCAGAAATCATCCATTTCCGAGATACAGGCCGATTACGTTTTTCTGCTGATTTTTGCCATTTTCAGGCCAAGTTTTAGCTATTTTAGTCGCACTACTACCGCTGTTACAAGACCCTGGCAAACTAGGTTTTGGTTGTTCATTATAGTCGGGGTCTTACCCTATCACATTATCATTTTTCCTATGTATCAGGAGACTAAGCAAGATACGTGTCTGGAGATACCTGAAATGTACTCTATCTTCAGATCGCGATAACTTCACGGGAGCAGGGTTTGCGATAAAAATCAAAATAATTTATTTGCAGCTTGACCTGTTCTACCAACATAATTGCCTATATTGTTATTCAAAGGGTCAATATATCAACTCTGGCTCCCCTTCAACCTGCTTTGCCAAAATGGTTTGATATCCACTCAACAAATCCAAGGTTGCCTCTCCCAGTCAATATGGATTTTTGCAAATTCTCGATCTAAAATGTCGATCCTGATTTGTTTTTTTTTGTTGTTTTTTTAATGCAAAATACAGAATTTCAATCACAAATTTTGAAAACAGTGGAATTAGAGCAGATGAAAGTCAACAATTATGCAAAACAAATCCAATTTCTATGAAAATCGCCCATTTGACCTTGACCTTCAATCGCGAGGTCATTAGAGATACTATTTGAAGTTCACACGTAGCTCTATCGACAAACCATATCTCATTCGAAAATATTGAAAAACAAATTAGTTAAAGTTGGGATTTCAAAATTTTTCTTGTCAGACATTTTGCCAAAAATAAAGGGCATAACTCTTATTATTTTATCAGACGGATTCATACCACAATTAAAAGTCACGTGTCAACGAAACCTTCAAATCCCGTACGTAATAAAAATAGGTGCACCTCGATATTTTTCATATTTAATTCCCATATTGTATTCAAATTTATGCTATTAATATTCGTACAAAATTATATGTTTTCATAATATACTCTTCAAAAAAAGTAGGGGATATTCAGAAACAATACAAAACTGCGGAACACTCATTTACACGCCTCCAAACGCGAGACACCTATCGGTGAAATCCAGAATTGCAGAGTAAATCTGGACTCATCTGAGAACATTACATGCGCCCATCGACGATTACCCCAATTTCTAACTGCCTACACCATTGACGCCTGTTTGCCATGTGCTGGCGAGTTAATGGAGGCACAACACGTGGTCATAGCGCATCAAATGGGCTGCATGTAGCTGATTTCTTATCGTTTGGGATGTAACTCGAATTCCTGTAACTTGGTACAAGTTTACAGAAAGCTGATTGGCCGTTTGTCCTCGATTTCACAGGACCTGTGTACGAATGTATCGATCCTGGGCTCGTGTAGTGGCTCTAGGACGACCTAAACTATCATCAACATTGTGTGTTTGTTGGTACCGGTTCCACAGTCTGCTGATCACAGACTGTGACACATTAAGCATTTTCGCTACTGCTCGCTGTGTAGAACCCATTTGAAGCATGCCAATAGCACGTAGACGTTTATCATGTTGAAGATATCTCATTGCAAATTAAACGTAACACACTGAAACAAAGATACGCTGAAAGTAAATCTTATGCAAGAACCGATAGGAAAGCAAATTAAACGTAACACGCTAAAACAAAGATATGCTGAAAGTAAATCTTATGCAAGAACCGATAGGAAAGCAAACATGGATAGGATAAACTAGCATGCGGCAGTTTTCATCAACCCTTCCTTGAAGTGTCAGATTTGATAATGAACCCCTCCCACGTGTATGGTGCTATTGCGTTTCAAACGTGTAGCTCAGTAGTTCTGTTGGGGCGATACGTTCTTCATCTGTGAATATACTCTCAAAGCATGTCAAGTGTCCATGACTATTTATCATATCACAACCTGCATTTTAATATCCCCTACTTTTTTTGAAAAGTATATATTGATTACATGAAAGCTTGCCGATCCTGCTTCGGCTTCAAATTCACAACAGTAATATTCCTTCAAAATTACGTGTCTGCGTTTATACAACAGCAAATAAATGCAGAACTTCTGAAATAAGAATAGTTTGTGATGTCAAAACATTATTTTCTTCTTTATAAAATGTCAACAAAATATTCAAATTCGCACGTAATAAAAATAGGAACACCTCGCTATTTTTGTGCACACACAATTTTTATCCGATTTTGATGAAACTTAAAATGTATGTTTATATCCCAAAGATCTCGGTTCCTTTCGATATTTGCGCATATCACATTATAACTTCCTGAATTATGACCCCTGAATGTACGAAAAATCACGTTTTTAGCTTGTCGTCCTGCTTGATGTTACAATTTTTATTCGACTTTGATGAAATTTTATATATACTTTTATATCCCAAAGGTCTGGGTTTTTAGCTTGTTGTCCCGCTTGATGTTACAATTTTTATTCGACTTCGATGAAACTTTTATATATACTTTTATATCCCAAAGATCTAGGTTCCTTTTGATATCGTCGCATGTCAGACTTTAACATACTGGATGATGGCCCCTGATTGTATGAAAAATCACTTTTTATTTAGCTTGTTCTCTGTCCATCTCATGCAAAATGTGGGCGTATCTTGCATGGCAACCGCGTATTCATATTTAATTCCTGTACGGTATTCAAATTTACGTTAGTAATAATACTATAGAATGATAGGTTGCAGATCCATGCCGGCTTCAATCAAATTCACGCCAGTAATATTCCTCCAAAATTACAAGTCTTCGTTTATACGACAGCAAATGAAAGAAAGGCGTCTGAAATGAGAATTACTTGTGATGTCAAAATATTTTTGTAAAATGGTATTTTATGATTACATTGATAGTTAAATCACTTGTAAAAGGCATACATAACTTCAGTGTATGGCGTACCTGACCCTTAACATATAACACATAGTTTCGTAGTAAGCACTGCCTTATAATCATGGTAAGCGATTTTCGTGCGATAATCGAGATCGCCGGAAAGGGCCACTGTAGATGGGAATTTATATAAGGTGTCTTAAAATACGTTTTATTGCGGAAAATAAGTTAAAGGTTTAATAGCTAATAATAGACAGAGGTTTTGAATTTATAATGACTGTCGATTGATTTGGGGTGTTATGTTATAGTTATATACTATTTGGATAATAAGTGAAATCAAGGACTAGTTTCTACGTGGTGTCAGTTGATTTTAATGAGATTGAAATGTCCGGCAATGGAGAAAGCACCGAGGTAATCGTGTAGATAAGGTTGATACTCACTCTTATTAGATTGACAAAAGAGTAGCAATGACTTCTGTTCAAGATTAGATTGATGAATTTCCCCGACAAAGGAATAAGACGGTCAAGCAAGGCAGATTAAATAGGTAAACAAGGTAGGTGTATAAATGGGATAACACGATAAATACGTTGATCACTTAATTGTCGAATCAATCAAGCCTATTATCAACGATAATCCGGATGAGTGGTAGTTATACATTCAGTACACTATATTAATTTCAAAATTTTGAATATTATTCACCATATCTTGATGTCCGATTGGGCATACTCCTGGCCGTACATTTGGAAAATAGCGTAGGACATCTACGGGCGAAATCCTAACACTTAAGAAACCGAAAATCGACGCAAAAAGTGACAAATTTTGTAACTTTCAACACAAATTTTCATACTGCTGAAGTCTAGTTGACAACAATTTTATTTTTTATGTTATTAGAACAGGTCAAGCTGCAAATAAAATGACTTTCATTTTTATTGCAAACCCTACTCCAGTGAGTTAACGCAATTTGAAGAAAGGGTATAAATCAGGTATCTGCAGACACGTATTTCGTGTAGTCTCATGACACCTACAGAAACAGAGGTTGCACTGGGTGATCGGGTGAGACCCAGTCTATAATCACCAACCAAAGCCTAGTTCGCCCTTCATCGATTAACGGCTGTAGCAATGCTACGAATATGGTAGAAATTTGACCTGAAAATGACGGAATTTAGCCGAAAAACATAATCGGGCTGTATCTCAGAAAAGGTTGAATTCTAAAATCTGCAATTTTGGCTGGCGAGTAGGCTCGATGGGTCGACCAAACCCTGTAAATATGAACTCAATCGAACATTCGAACCTTCTCCATGGTTTTCTCATGGAAAAGTTGATAGGTTCAATAATGTAGAGATACAGTGCACAGTACAATAAATGCCTTAGATTTTAACTAAAAGACAAGTCAATTCACTTTTCCATGAGGATACACACCTTCCAGAATGTTGTAAACATGTAAGAATTACAAATAGAGACTAGATCTGCCAGGCAGATATGAAAGCTTTCATATTCATCGTCAAGTGTCATGGATTATATCAAGAATCTTAAAAAGAAAAAAAGATTTATTAAAATCGGTCAAAAAGTAGCTAAGCTATAACGAGAAACATTTCACACGGGCGAAAAATAATCTTAAAAATAAAGAGAGATAATTGAGACTTGTATTGGTAGAATTGGATCGACCTGCCATTTCAGAAAAATCGAATAGAAAAAAAAGAATTATTAAGATCCGCCCAAAATTCGCTGAAATATAATGAGAAACATTTCAAACGGGCAAAATTTTCCGTCACATGTTACAGATTAAATCGGCTAAAAACTGGCTAAGTCATAACGAGCAGGCATAACTTCCCATCAGATTTTAATGATTTTGTCAATAATCTTAAACAGAAAAGAATTATTATCTTAGTTGTAAGTTGTAATTATAAGTATTCAACCAGGCAAAATTTGACATTTTAAAAGTTGCACAGAACCTTTAAGAACCGACGTCAATCAAGCTTACAAAATAAGTACCAAATGACCTACTTAATTGTTGGCCATAAAAATTTGACCCGATTTCAAAGTTTTTGAAAATTAAGGGGCGAAAAATGTCCTGTAAACGACTTCGTCGACACGAAAATCCTCAAAGTGGAAATTTGAAATTTTCATGTACCAACAATTCGACTCTGAGACAGGCTATCCAGAAATGTATTAATTTCAGAAATGGAAGATGACTTCAAGAAATGGCGGTCTATTCCGATTATTTCAAAGTCATTAATGGGAATTTTTCACTGGAAAACAATCTTGTTGGCTAGAAAAAATTTTGAAATTTTCAAATACCAAATTCAACCCTGATTCAGAAGATAGGGGATAGGAGACGAAATAAAAGTTCTGCTCCAAACTTTTTTCAAATATTTCTTCAAGGATTCACAAAATTTAACTTCCATGTCTGTAAGTAAAATATCGAAAGAGCCTTAGGGAATTTTCACATTTCAAGATCGTGGCACTTCCGGTTTGATTGACAAACTCCATATTATGTGTACGCATAGCTAGTACAGAAAAAAAAAAAATTTTTCAAGGCAATCTGACCTACATTTTTTCAATTTTTGGAAAACTTTGATCCTTAATTTCTCCAGGGAGAGATAAGTTAGAAAATTGGATCAATCAGTTCTTCTTACATTCCAAATTTCATGAAAATCGTACTAATATTAAAGAAGTCGTATAGTTGGTTTTTACTTCCTTGATGAGAATTCAATGACATAATTTTCACTCGAAAACAACTTTGACGTGCGGCACGAAAAACATCAAAGTGGAAATTTGAAATTTTCATACACCGCATATTCGGCCCTGATCCAGGCTATCCAGGAGATAGGAGATGAATTCTCCAAACTATGGCCTATTGTTATTTTCACGCCCGTTAATGTGGATTTTTCACTATTTTTATACGCCCACATTTTCATGCCGACGTATTATTTCATCGCCCCTGTCCGTCCGGACGTCCGTCCACAATTTTTATCAGATTTTGACGAAACTTAAAATATAGGTATATTTCCTTAAGATCTCGGTTAATTTTGATATTGGCATGTATAGGACCATAACTACATGGATTATGGCCCCTGATTGTACGAAAAATCACGTTTTTAGCTTGTGGACACGCTAGAGGTCATTATTTTTACCCGATTTTGATGAAACTTGAATTGCAAGTTTATAACCCATAGATCTTGGTTCCTTTCGATATTCACCCATATCGGATAGTAAATTCCTGAACTATAGCCCCTGATTGTACAAAAAATCGCGTTTTTAGCATGTGGTATCCGATTTAAAAAAAACGGTCGAATATATCACCGTAATTTTGGTTGAGCTCGAATTTCTTGCCGAACAAAATATGCCGCCCCTTCTACGCAAATAGTGTAAACATCTGGTATATCAAGGTTGTGGACCCTCTAGAGGTCACAATTTTGATCCGATTTTGATGAAACTTGAAATGCATGTTTATAACCCAAAGATCTTCGTTCCTTTTGATATTCACGCATATCGGATCGTGACTTCCTGAATCAATGTCCCTGATTGTACGAAAAATCACATTTTTAGCTTGTGGTCCCTCTAGAGGTCACAATTTTTATTCGATTTAAAAAAAAAAAACTCCAAATATATCACCATTACACCATAATGATAGTTGAGTTCTAATTCATTGAAAATCCGACCAAAACTGCCTGACAAAATGGACGCTCCTTGTATGAATAGCATAAAAGTATGTAATACCAAGTTTGTGGACCCTTTAAAGGTCACAATTTTTATCATATTTTGATGGAACTTGAAATGTATGTTTATTATAACCAAAAGATCTTGGTTCCTTTCGATATTCGCACATATCAGACGGAAACTGCTGGAAAAAATGACCGCTCCTTGTGTATGCAAATAGTGTAAAAGTATGGTATATCAAGGTTGTGGACCCTCTAAAAGTCACAATTTTGATCCGATTTTGATGAAACTCAGTTCTTTTTGATAATTGCGAATATTGGAATGTAAATTTTTAGATTATGGCCCCTGATTGTACGAAAAATCACGTTTTTAGCTTGGCGACACTCTAAAGGTCACAATTTTTATCCGATTTAAAAAAAACCTTCAAATATATCGCCATTACAACACTATAATGATGGTTGAGTTTGAATTTCGTGAAAATCCTGCCGAAACTACCCGACAAAATGGACGCTTGTATGCAAATAGCGTAAAAGTATGTAATACCAAGGTTGTGGACCTTTTAAAGGTCAAAGTTTTTATCATATTTTGATGAAACTTGAAATGTATGTTTATAACCCAAGGGTCTCGGTTCCTTTCGATATTCGCACATATCAGACTGAAACTGCCGGAAAAAATGGCCTCTCCTCGTACGCATGGTATATCAAGGTTGTGAACCCTCTAGAGGTCGCAATTTTGATCCGATTTTGATGAAACATTAAATTTATGTTTATACCACAAAGATCTCAGGTCCTTTTGATAATCTCGCATATTGGAACATAACTTTCTGGATTATGGCCCCTAATTGTATGAAAAATCACATTTTTAGCTTGTGGACCCTCTACAGGTCACAATTTTGATCTGATTTTAAAAACTGTATAAACATATCACCGTTACACCATAGTGAAGGATGAGTTCAAATTTTGTTAAAATCGAAACGAAACTGTCTGACAAATAGTGAAAAAGTATGTAATACGAGGGTTGTGGATCCTCTAGAGGTCACAATTTTTATACGCCAACATTTATATGTGGACGTATATTGCCATCGCCCCTGTCCAGACGTCCGTCCACAATTGTTTGTCGACACTCTAGAGGTCACAATTCTTATCCGATTTTGACGAAACTTGACGAAAAATCACTTTTTTAGCTTGTGGACCCTATAGGGATCACAATTTTTATCCGATTTTGTTGAAACTTGAAATATAAGTTTATGACCCAAAGATCTCGGTTCCTTTCGATATTCGCGCATATCGGATCGTAACTTCCTGAATTATTGCCCCTGATTGTATGTAAAATCGCATTTTTATCTTGTGGACCCTATATAAGAGGTCATAATTTTTATCCGATTTAAAAAAACGTTTTAGTATATCACCATTACACCCTAAGGATGGTTGAGTTTGAATTTCGTGAAAATCGGCCCAAAACTGACAGACAAAATGGCCGTCCCTCGTTCTCAAATAGCGTAAAAATATGGTATATCAAGGTTGTGGACCCTCCAGAGGTCACAATTTTTATCGGATTTTGTTGAAACTTGAAATATAAGTTTATAACCCAAAGATCTTGGTTCCTTTCGATATTCCCACATATCGGATCGTAACTTACTGAATTATGTCCCCTGATTGTACGAAAAATCACGTTTTTAGCTTGTGGACCCAATTTAAAAAAACGTTTTAGTATATCACTGTTACACCCTGAGGAGGGTTTATAACCCAAAGATCATTGGTTCCTTTCAATATTCGCACATATCGGACTGTAACTTCCTGAATTATGGCCCCTGATTGTACGAAAAATCACATTTTTAGCTTGTGGTCCCTCTAGAGGTCACAATTATTATTCGATTTAAAAAAACGTTCTAATATATCACTGTTACACCCGAAGGATGGTTGAGTTCGAATTTCGTGAAAATCGGACTAAAACTGACAGACAAAATGGCCGTCCCTCGTACTCAAATAGCCTAAAAATATGGTATCTCAAGGTTGTGGGCCCTCTAGAGGTGACAATTTTCTTCTGATTTTGATGAAACTTGAAATGTAAGTTTAAAACCCAAAGATCTTGGTTCCTTTCTGTATTTGCGCATATCGGAGTGTAAATTCCTGAATTATTACCGCTGATTGTACGAAAAATAGCTTTTTGTTTAGCTTGTTCTCTATCCATCTCTTGCAAAATGTGGGCGTATCCTGCCTGGCAACCGCTGGTTGTCCAATTTGTCTAAGATCTTGATTCCTTTCGATATTGGCACATTTCAGACCATAACTTACTGGATTATGGCCCCTGATTGTACAGAAAATCGTGGGAGTTTTTTTTCTTTAGCTTGTTCTCTATCCATCTGTTGCAAACTGTGGGCCTATCTTGTATGGCAACTGCAAAGGATCAGTATATTTACCAATACTTTGCTTTAAAAACACTGATCAGCACATACCAATGTTGTAATCGATGATAGTCTCATTAATTATAAAAGATTGACTGTTTCTTGTAAAAGAAAGAAACAAAGCATCCCCAAAATACAGGGCCGAAACTGACATCAGAAGCCATCAGAAACTAAGAAATTACTTATTATTATATATTCTAGAACATAGTATCTTTAGGTACACTACCATTGTTAGTACAGGAAGAAGCCATAATAGATGATATACTGTGTTGTTTGCAGGTAATGTTAACTACAGTGGACTCTGTCAATTCCGACATCGTACAGGATTGATACAATATGCCAGATTACACAGCATGTCGGAATACTCAATTGCCGCAATACCGGAAGTATTATTGTACCTTAAACCACTCGTACGTCATTCTGTTGGTGTCTTCAAACTTGCCGTTCAAGTAAAATTGTTTCTTACAGCTGTTAAAGTTATCGGCAAACTTCTGTTTGAATTCATCTTTTTGCTTTAAAATGTCGGATACTGTAGTACGGCCAATTGAATACTTAACGGCTGTGTAGGTCGTGGAACTTTCTCAAAATCTGCTATAATGTCAAATCCGTACGGGCATGCTGTGCAGGACACGATCACACATTATGAATTGAATTTGAGAAACTCAAATCAAATACCAAGTGCTCTCTTACAAGAGATTATAAAATTATCAAGGTAATCAACAAAGATGGACACATGTTTTATGCTCGCAGATAATTGATTGGTGATTACTTGTTGGTTAACAACCACAGGCCGGATTATCCAATGTTTATTAGACGCAAATCGTGTGACAGGACCACTGATTGATGTCGTAATTCGGAATATTCAAAATCCGGACTACTCAAAACTTTTTATACGTCCACATTATGAATATTGCCGTCGTCTGTGTGTGTGTGGGTATGTGTGTGTCGCCTACAGGCCACAATGCTTAAGTGATCATCTTCAAACTTTACATACTTATTCCTTATACCCTATTTCTTTGTTTGTCATCTACAGGCTGCATTTCTTAATGTATCATATTGAAACTTTGCATACTTATTCTTTGCATACTTATTCTTTGTACCCTAAGGAACATCCCTATCGTTTGGGGTGCGTGCTCAACCCCCAGGGGCAGAGCCATGTCCATTTTCTTTTTGTGTGTCGCCAAAAGGCCACAATTCTTAAGTGATCATCTGGAATCTTTACATACTTATTCCTTATACCCTAAGGATGATCCCTATTGTTTTTGGTGCATGCCTGATCCCCAGGGACAGAGCCACACCCATTTCTTGTATTTGTTTGTTTGTCGTCTACAGGCCACATTTCTTAACGCATCATCTCGAAACTTTGCATACTTATTCTTTGTACCCTAAGGAACATCCCTATCATTTGGGGTGCATGCCCAACCCCCAGGGGCAGAGGCACGCCCATTTTCTTTTTGTGTGTCTGTGTGTCGCCTACAGGCCACAATTCTTAATCGATCGTCTTGAAAAAAATTCATATGAATTCCTTATACCCTAAGGATGATCCCTATTGTTTTTGGTGCTTGCCCGCCCTCAGTGGTAGAGCCACGCCCATTTCTTGTCTGGGGGCCACAGTGGCTAGGTGGTTAAGACGCTGGCTCGCTAGCCTGGAGGTCGGGTGTTCGATCCCTGCATTGGCCGAGAAAGTTCATCCTGATTTTCCGACCTGGTTTCCCCTTGTCAGTGGTGCAGAACGGAGGGCCTGACAAGGACAGCTGTCTAGTCCTTCGGATGATACGAAAAACCGAGGCCCTGTGTATACATTAATTAGAATGCACGTAAAAGATCTTTTGGCAGTTGGAATTCGATATATAAGACGGCGATAGTGTCGCTGCCCGGGCAAAATTTCCCTATTGTTTGTGGTGAATGCCCAGCCCTCAGGGACAGAGCCACGCCCATTTTCTTTTTGTGTTTCTGTACGTCACTTACACCCTGCAATGCTTAATCGATCATCTTGAAAACTTTTTTTATACTTATCCTAAGGCTGACCTCTATTATTTTTGGTGCATGCCCGACCCCCTGGGACAGAGCAATTCTTAACAGATCCTTTTGAAACTTTGCATACCTATTCCTTATACCCTAAGGATGCCCCCTGTAGTTTTTTGGTGATTACCCAACCCCCAGGGGCAGAGCCACACCCATTTTTTCTTTGTGTCTCTGTGAGTTGCCTACAGGCCACGATTCTTAATGGATTGTCTTTGAATTTGGGATATGTATTCCTTATAGCCTAACGACGACAACTGCATGTTTATCGTTTACAGGCCGGAATTCTGAATGGATCAACTTGGTACTTGGCATATGTATTCCTTATAGCCTAAGGCCTCAACTATTGATTTTGGTGAATGCCCCGACCCCGAGGGGCAGAGCCACGCCCAATTTTTATGTTTATCGTTTACAGGCCGGAATTCTGAATGGATCAACTTGGTACTTGGTATATGTATTCCTTATAGCCTAAGGGCATCAACTATTTATTTGGATGAATGCCCCGACCCCCAGGGCAGAGCCACGCCCAATTTTTGCCTTTAACGCCCAAAGGCCACAATTCAGAATAGATTATCTTGGAACTTGGTATACTTATTCCTTATACCCTAAGGACGGCAACTATTGATGTTGTCATTTCAATAACAGGATGGTACCTATTTATATTGTTTCCATATTCAACCCCTACGGAAATGAAATGAAATGGAGTTTAACGTCCTACTGTTCTTCTCCTAACCTGGGCTAATGAAGACGGGAAAATTTAATATTAATTACAGATAGAGTCCATGTTCAAACAACGTCATGCCTTTTATCACAGGTGCAATATTCAATACCACAGTACGATACTACTGCCAACCCCCACGGGCAGAGCCACGCCCATTTTTTGTATTTATCGTCTACAGGCTGCAATTCTGAATGGATCATCTTGGAACTTTGCATATTTATTCCTTATACCATAAAGACAGCAACTATTTATTTTGATGCTTGCCCCGACCTCCTGGGGCAGTGTCACACCCACTTTATTGTTAGTATTTTGTTAGTAAATTTGGCAAAACAAACCCGACGCCTAGCCTTCTTTTCCTTTGATCATATTACAGCCATTTAATATTTCAATCAAAGCTGGAACTTTGACGTATATTGCAGCGTTAGCGATGCTCTTGTTTGGTTGAAGTAATAAAGAAATAAATCGGGACATGAATAAAATAAAACCAAGTACGAACAATCCAAACCATTAGACAAAATTCGAAGTCCTAAAAAAACGGTATAGGCAAAATAGTGTAATAAGGCAAAATAGTGTAATCAGGATATGGACTGTTCACCGTGTACAAAATACACGACAAACAGTGGTAACAGGTGTCCGGAAGAGTAAGCTTACCCTGCCTGGCACCACACCCGCCATAGCTGCATCCAAACTATTAGGCGAAATCTCGGTAAAATAGCGTGATTGGCCATTGAACTATCAGTATGCATATAATGACAGATTTTACAGCATGCCATAGTATTCAGATGTTGGAAGTGACAGAGTCCACTGTATTTGTATTATAACCCTCACAAGTGTAACAACTTTCATCAATTTGAAATAGTTATAATTCATTGTTTGTGAAAACTGGATGATTTTAAAGGCAGATGAAACTGTCAATATCATTGGATCTTTGAAACAGTTTAGTTACCATTAAATTCTAAAATGTTGTTGATCTAAATTGATGGAATAGTTGCCAAGATAAATACATTTTTGACTACACTCTAGTATGATGTGTGAATTCAGATAACAGTACATGATGTGCAACCAAAAGCTTTTCAAAGCTTATTCAACTTTATTCTGGTCATTTTGAAATACACATGCATTGGTCGAATACTAAGGCATCACAATTTCAATATTTGGCTTATATAATTATATTGCTTGTTATTTAATTGTGAGACACACACGTATGTTTGGACTTTGTAATGGCACCAATATTGAAATATTTATAAACTCAAAATTATTCAGTTTGTTAATGAACAGCTTTAATACTGAACAATATAAATCTTTTAAGTAAGAATTTTTATATGCCCACATTTTCATGTGGACGTCTATATTATCGTCGCCCCTATCTGTCCGTCCGTCCACTATTGGTTTGTGGACACTCTACAGGTCACAATTCTTATCCGATTTTGACAAAAATTGAAATACAGGTCAATCTCCAAAAGATCTTGGTTCCTTTCGATATTGGCATGTATCAGATCGAAACTTCATGGATTATGGCCCCTGATTGTACGAAAAATCATGTTTTTAGCTTGTAAACACTCCAGAGGTGACAATTTTCATCTCATTTTGATGAAACTTGAAATGCTTGTTAATAACCCAAAGATCTTAGTTCCTGTCGATATTTGTGCCTATCGGATCATCACTTCCTGAATTATGTCCCTTGATTGTACGAAAAATCACGTTTTTAGCTTGTGATCCCTCTAGTGGTAACAATTTTTATTCGATTTAAAAAAGTGTTTGAATATATCACCATTACACCATAACGATGGTTGAGTTTGAATTTCGTGAAAATGGGACCAAAACTACCGAACAAAATGGCCGCCCCTTGTTCGCAAATAGTGTAAATATGTGGTATATCAAGGTTGTGGACCCTCTAGAGGCCACAATTTTAATGAAACTTTAAAAACATGTTAATAATCCAAAGATGTTGCTTCCTTTCTATATTCATGCATATCGGATCGTAATTTCTTGAATTATGGCCCTTGATTGTAAGAATAATCATGATTTTAGCTTTTGGTCCCTCTTGATGTCACATTTTTTATCTAATTTAAAAAAGATGTTTGTATACATCATCATTCCACCCTAATGATGGTTGAGTTCGAATTTTGTCAAAATAGGACCAAAACTGCCAGATAAAATGGCCGCCCCTTGTATGCAGATACTGTAAAAGTATGTAATACCAAGGTTATGTACTCTCTATAAGTCACAATTTTATATGATTTTGGTGAAACTTAAAATATATCTTTATACGCCAAATATCTCAGTCCATTTCATTATTCCCATATTTGAGACGATAACTTCCTGGATTATGGCCCCTGATTGTACGAAAAATCCCTTTTTTCTTTCTATCCATCTCTTGCAAAATGTCGTATCTTGCCTGGCATCCGCTGGTTTTATGATGTAGCTGCTGGAGTTGTATTTTTGCCTGGCAACCTATCTTGTAGCACAATTTGACTACTTTAGATTATTTTCTCTTTTTACAGGGAATAGAAGGAAAGTATATTTTAGCTCGGGCCCTTACCGAAAGATATGCTTCTAAAGAATTTATGATAGATCAGAGTTTAGGTAAATACCATACAAATCCATGGAATAAATATATCAAAATTTATAATTTGCCTTTTCAAGTGTGATTATTTGGATTTGTTATAAATATAAAAAGAAAATGAACAAAATAATGAAAACAAATATATATCTAAATATTTTTGTTTTACATTTTAGATCATTCCTTACAAGAACTAGTGAAAAGAATTCTACCCTTATGTTCAAACTATTCTACCATTGTTAGATTTATTGAAGGTAAATAATTATTATACATAAACAACTCTATATACCTGTACAAATGAGCCGAGCTCCAATGAATTTAGAATTTCAAGACTCATTGATTTATGAGGTAAAATAGTTTGTATTTAGATGGGGGTGTTGAGTGGTCTATTGTGTGTGCTTTAGTTCATAAGGTCTGTCATTGAGTGAAATCGTGGGGTTTCGATTCCAAGCTTGTACGTGACATGGGGTAGGATCATCTGTACACACAACCGAATTATTGAAATAAAATTGAACCATATTTTAGTCCTGCAATGACCTAGACTGTGTCTTGTACATTAAACCTGATTTCTCTCTCTGTGTATTTAGCTGTAATTCATTGATTGTTTTAAAGAGGAAGAATTTTTCTTTGAATTAGAAATAAAATATAGGTAGATTCAGCCTGTATTGAGTTACATCTGGTCATAAATTAAAATAAACACATCTAATTTTAGATGTATATTATTTCAACCTGTGTCTTTGAAACAAAATATCACAAGATTAGTTTTATCATAGAATTCTTAATATTATATGTATGAGTTTTTATTTCTAGAGAAGTCAGCATTTGAATATGGATTAGTAAATCATGCTTTAGCTGCTGCAATGAGAGCACTAATTAAGGTATGTATATTGAATGTTATTTTATTGCTCAAATGTAACTTTAGATTTTCAAATTACAGGATCTTCTCAAAATTTTAGTTTTGAAGTATTTTTTGATATTTTTTTTTGTTATTTATAGGATTATATGGTTCTAGTAGCTCAACTAGAACACCAATATAGAACAGTGAGTATTTATATTATATTTCTTCTCACAGGATGATTATGACTGAATGTATTTGTACATCATGTGAATATAACTATATATTAATAACTAGAACGTGAAGCTCCCGTCTTGAGGAACCCAGTGAAAGCTTTAGCTGACATCCATGTTGATGCCACTAAAGTGTTTCAGTCTTGGAACACACTAACTCTCCTTCCAATTGAGGTAGAATGTTCATAATTATTGTTGGTGTCTGTTATGTTAATGCCTTGACATAGTTCATTCATGTGAATTTTCCACTAAGGCTAAGCAGAAATGAGCAATTTGATTGGTTGTGAGTGTGACTGGGTGAGAACGATGAAACCCTGAGTATAGATTCATCATATCAATACATTGACTAAGTTCGTTGATGAGAATTTTCTGCTTAGGCTAAATAGCTATAAGCAATTTGATGGGTCAGGACTTTGGAACATAACAATTCTGCTTTTAATTGAGTTATAGATCTTCATTAGGTGAATGTCTTGACTGAGTTCAATAATTAACATTTCCCATTAACCCTTAACCGGTCATTGTCGACTATAGTCACCACAACGTTATACAGCTAAGTGGTCACGGTCGACTAAAGTCGACCACAACAAGAACCTTTTTTATAAGCCGCATTTGAGTATTTAGCTTCGTATTTAATTGATATGGCCACGCATGCGTGTCAGACAGGAACTTGTCTAGTCAAGGGCATTGAGAAAAACATGTCTTTGTTCAACATTTTTTGACAAAAAATGTAATTTAGCGATGTCGGGAATGTTAAAGACGCTCGAAGTGGATGAAATTCTTATGAATTATTCTGACTCGGATTATATCGATGACACCGATTCTGAAGACGATATTTCTGATGAAAAGAATTTAGAATGATTTGCAAATTATAGATCAACTTATCCCCTTCAACTTTTTTATTGGTGTCAAGAGTCTATCACTTATAATTATTCGGCAGTAGTCGATTGAAATAGACATACAAAATATTTCACGTCAGCCTTTTTTTAGCCTGACCACTTGACGTCATGACGTCAAAATGACGTCGACTGGTTAAGGGTTAAAGCTAAGCCGAGCTAAGCAATTTCTTTGGTCGATGCTTTGGTACAAGATAACATTGATTCTAACTTTTAGCAAGAGACATCAGCCTCACTGTTGGCTTGTTTAACCTGGTGTTGAGCAGACTTTTAGACACATTTTCTTTAAATAAAATTTTATTGGTATTGATGTAGTATAGATCAATAACAATGACACATATGAAATGGGTTCATCAATCATATATCTTTTCGTCAGTCACACTTCAGATTTTCAGCTGAACAAATAGTTTATAAAGTTTATTATACCAATAAACTGTTGAAATTTACTATGTTTAATCTTTATGGTGGTACCATGTAATATTACTGAAGATCACATTTTTGTCCCCCGCCTTTCAAAGAAAGCAGGGGACTATTGAAATGGGTTCATCCGTCTGTCTGTCCGTCACACTTTTTGGGACACAATAAATCTCCTCCTAATTGAGCTAGAATGTTCAAACTTGGTGTAGTTGTTTATTAGGTCAGTGCCTTGATGGAGTTCAAAGATGAGCATTTCTGCTTAGGGTAAGCAGAGATAAGCAATTTGATTGGTTGATGCTTTGAGACACGATAACTTTAGTTCTAATTAAATGAGTGTGATGAAACTTGGTGTATAGTTTCATTACATCAATACCTTGACTAAGTTCGATAATGAGCATTTTTTGCTCATGGTAAGCAGAGCAATAAGCTATTTGATTGGCTGAGACTTTGGAAGACAATAACTCTCCTTCTAATTGAGCTAGCATGTTCAAACTTAGTGTAGGTGTTTATTAGGTCAATGCCTTCCGGGAGATCGAAGATGAACATTTTCTGCTTAGGGTAAGCAGAGATAAGCAATTTGATTTGTTGAGACTTTGGAACACAATAACTAACGAATCGTATGAATAAGAAACGGTTTAAAACACAGAAAGATTTATTTACTTCCTCACACTATTCCATCAAAACCAAATGTAATAGTTTAAAAGTTTTAGATTCTAAGATGCGAAGTGACATCATCAAGATGTGACATCACCAGTTTCAATGATTTCGTGGAAAAATATGACATGTGGACGTGAGATCCCGACATTCTCCTGCTGGCGAATGTATAGTAAAAGTTCAAAGTTAGTGCATGGCAGCTGATCACTCTGATCGTCGTACTTCACGTTGTGTTTGGGATTGAGTTTCAACAGGTTGTCTCTTAGAATCTTCCACATTAATCCTTTCAACTGTGTCGTCCACATTAATCTCCAGTGAATGCAGACGAGTGATTAGTCTGTTAGTCGGACCGTTATTGGTTCGGATATTTGCAGATCTCACCAAACCGTTGTTTCCTGGAATAAAGTTTTCCACTATGGCTAACTTCCATGAAGTTCTGGGAGCTGGTGGATCTTGATGAATCATGACGTCTCCGATCTTAATCTTGTTTACGTAGGTACCAGATTTTGTATGGAATTGCCTCAGCGAGGTCAGGTACTTTTCAATCCACTGGCGTCGAAAAGATTCAAGTGGCTGCATCTGTACTTTAACACGTTTGGTCACCAGTTCACGAGTACACAGTGGTTTGTCGAAACTATCGTGGGTAAGTGGCTTTAGTACAGTTATTTTTCTTACTGTCAACAATTGTGACGGACATATCGGGCCTATGTCTTTGACACCTGCTGTGGATCGAGTTGAGAACAGCTTCAAGTTCTCTATTACGATGGTCATCAGAGTTCTAAATGGTACTGTCGTTTTTCCCAATACTTTTACTAAACAGGCTTTCACAAGTCCAACTAAACGCTCATAAAATCCTCCAAACCATTGACCCAGTTTAGGTATATGGATCCATTGTACATGGTAATTCGCCATGTCCTCCTTTACAGTGGGACTGGATAATATGGCTTTGATTTGCTTAGATGCTGTGGTGAACGTCGTTGCATTATCAGAGACCATCACTGCTGGTAAGGATCGTCTGGCGACGAAGATACGAAACAGGTTGAGGAACTGATTAGTCGTAAGGTCAGACGCAAGTTCCAAATGTATTGCTCTCGTAGGGGGTCACATGGCTAAGTGGGTAAGACGCTGGCTCGCTAGCCTGGAGGTCGGGTGTTCGATCCCGGCATTGGCCGAGAAAGTCCATCCAGATTTTCCGGCGTGGTTCCCCCTTGTCAGTGATGCAGGACGGAGGGCCTGACAAGGACTGCTGTCTAGTCCTTCGGATGATACGAAAAACCAAGGTCCTGTGTATACATTGGAATGCCCGTAAAAGATCCCTTGGCAGTTGGAATTTGATATAAGAGTAGGCGATAGTGCCGCTGCCCGGGCAAAATTTCCCTCATAGCACACTGTATGGTGTATGCTCGTCTTCATTAGCCCAGGTTAGGAGCAGAACAGTAGGACGTTAAACCCCATTTCATTTCATTTTCATTTCATTTTTTGCTCTCGTCATGGCACACGTAAAGAGCAAAGTGGGAGCTTTGGAGTACCCATAGGATATTTTCACTGATATTGATCTGGCGAAGTCTACTCCTGTGACAGTGAAAGGACCTGAATCAGCGTATCTTCGGTAACGGAGGTGTGACTGGAGAACTATATGATTTACCCTTTGCTTTCTTGCAGATAATACACTTGTTTACGTGAGTTTTTACTATTACATAGCAACCACGCCATACATTTGTTAATTTTTGTTTAATATTTCTCTCGGTGTTATAATTTGGAACCAAAGAGAATAGTCCATACATTAGTAATGTAGGTCTTGTATATTAAATCTTTTATGGGAATAAATTCTGTAAATCTCACCACTTAATTGATTGGGTAAGTTTACCAACGTCAGTAGAGCGTGAAATCATTAACTATATAAATTTCTGGTAAGTTTATTGATAACTGTATCATTAAAAGAAAATTTGTTATCGGTGTGACTATTGTAGAAGAACTCAAATGAAAATTTTGGATATGTAAGTGGCAAATTTTAAGACATAAAAATGCTCTATTTGTTGAAAATGTTTTCACAAAAGTTTCGCTATAGTGTTCGTAATTTCTTGTAATTTCTTGTGTTTTGTATTGTTTCAGAATATGTAATATAGTGTAGTTATAAATGTGTGTTTTTTTGATAATTTTCAATGTGCTTTTATATGTATTTCTATCAGCCTTAGTTTTATTAAAAAATTAATCGTACAGGATATCTACATGACTTTCGAATTTCGACAAGAGAGATATCCCAAGATCGAAAGTTGTACATGGTTTTACTATTTCGACGTTGCATGCAATGTATCATTTATATTTCTAAAATATTAATAATTTCTTCCGTGCTCATAATTTCGGTTTACTTGTATGTATGAAATTCATTTTATTCTGTAACGTACGATCATATTGTATTTTAACATTGTATATCGTGCTTTATTATATGTTATTACTATTTTCATTGTTATATATATATATATATTGTTTCATCGTTATATTGTTTAATAGTTATTATTTCTCAAATGTAAATAGATATCCACACAATGCTCAGAATTTCAGCCTGTATATATGTATGTGTATGAAATTCAATATTATCTGCTATCATATTATCTTTTTCAATAAAATTAGTGAAAACAGATTGGTGTTAATGATCTTTTTTTAACCATTAGTTGTGATTCCAAATTTAATAATCCATACAGTGCTGCCTACCCCAAAACATGTGCCAATCCGCATGTAACGAGAACAAATATAAATTGTAAATTAAATAACAATACACATTGCACCGTATGTTATTTTGTTTCTGGCCATGACGAAAGATGACTGGTTATCATCCACTATGTATGCTACATAGCCGTAAGCTGTCGGTGAAAATGTGTAACTCTGCACTTGAATGGTCAGATGATGGAGATTCAGCGAAGATATAACGTGGTAAGGTAAGTTTAGTTGCTGTTTGGAGTTTGACTGCCATGCTCAACCATATCTTCTGTAGATTCTCTGGAATAGTTTCGTCCCAATCTACTATGTCAGCTTGCCAAATATCTTGCATAAATAACTTAGCCTGGACACTGACGGGTGTGAGGTACCCCAATGGGTCTTATATACGGGCTATCTCTTGTAAAACCGCGCGTTTAGTCATAGAGTCTTCAGCAGTTGGTATCTTCAAGGTAGGGTAAGATAGTAAGTCTTTCTTCGTGTTCCATAGTATGTCGAGAATTTTGACCACTTCTGATTCATCTGAATTCCTCAAGGTTTGACGTCCACGACCGTGTTTTCCTTTTGCGTTCGTCACTTCCGATTGTTGAAACATTGATTATGCATCTATCGTAGCACCAATATTGTCCTTTAATGATACAGAGACCATTCATTTATCAGGATTCGATGACTCTAGTCGTTGTATGGTGTCTTTGAAAAAGGCTTCCATCGTCATAGAGAACATAAATGGTACGAAGACAACCATAGACGTCCTGGTAGTGCCCAGTATCGCCGCTCCGTTACGTCAGAATAAGGTGCCGTTTATCAGTTAAATTTTTGGTGATGTACGAACGCTGACCTCCTTCATCCAAGAGAAGGTTGACTTCAGTAGATAATTTACTCCTGTAATTCCGTCTTTAAAAATACCGTATTGAAATACTTCCATTAGATCTGGTCATCTGCTGTTTCACTTCCACTGGAATTTGATTGAGAATGATAGGAATCAGTAACATACAAAGCTGGGTTTCTGTTAGTGTTGAAACTACTATTCGGATATCCGTTAACGGATACAAAATAAGGGTTATCTGAATCATTTTACTATCCGTTACAGTCTTCTGACATTCCGTATGCTCTATATTTAGCCATTTTTACATCTGATTACTTTGAAATTTTCCACAATGCTATTGATCACGTACGCAGCTTTGAGCATAAATGTTAATATCACGCGTATTATTTAGCGATAGTAACTAATAAAAATATTAATGCAGTGCAACGAAAACAGTAGTCTAAATAAAAAAATATTCATTCATTCCTTGTGCTGGTTTACGCTAGATAGAAGCTACTTTTTGGGTTTACGAGATACAAGTTAACACTGAGTTTAGACTTCCCACAATGAAATTTATTCATAACGACCTAGGTGATGTATATTCTCACTTACTGATTGGTTCAATAGCAGTATATTATCAGAATGAGGCAAACGACCTTGGCGGAATAAATGTTAGATGTTTTTATTTTACTTTTTTCATTCGTGTTGATTGAGCAAAAATGATAAGTGGGAGGGCCGCGGATTACAGGAGTAGTTATACACAAATTTATTCACCTCGTTGATATTTTTGGATGTCATGGATAGTCTTAATAATTGCGGCTAAAGGTAGGCACGTGTTTTTCTTCGCGGCTCAAACAATTTGCAAATCAAAAGTAAAATTTCATACTCAGCAGGCATACACAGACACTCATAAACATTGAAATAAGTAAGAAATTATGAGTATAAGAACTTTTGATGTGATTTTGTTCAAGAATTTCACGTTTCCGAATTATCCGACGAATAGTATTCGGATAGCAAACAAAAGTATTCGGATCACAAATCTCGATCCGATTTTCAACACTAGTTTCTGTCAACCCTAAAGCTTCCAAACTGCCAACTTGAGTTTCAACAGTATCGCAGTAAACACGTAAACTAGTGTAGTTGGCCTGAGGTGAGGGCATCTTGATCAAGGCTTGGCTGATAGCTTCAACTATAATAGTAGGATTACCATACCTTTGTGTGTGAATATCAATAGCAATATGGTAGTTTACTGACGTTAACGTTAAACTGGCTATAGCGTTCTTTGCTTCGCCATCCACACAAGATCGTAAATAAGTAAACTTCTCGATCAGAGATAGACGTGTGTTGGTATGGATTGAAATGTTATACATATCCCAGAGGGTTTGCCACATGATAGGTTCACCGTAAAATGTGGGCATTTCGAGTTTCGGAAGTTGGATGTCGCGGAATCGTCACCTTCACTATTGCTGTTAACGTTAGTGACTGTAGTTGTAGTAAACATTGATGGAACAGGTGGAGACTGAGAATCTTGAATTGAAGGACTAGAAAACGTACCTTGAGTAGTTGACTGAAGTTGTGTTCTGGTTTGTGCCTTTGGAAAAATTACCTTTGATAGTTTCTTCTTTTTCGACAAAAGTTCTTCCATCTTATCATCACAATCAACAGCTTCTTTCTCATAGTCCTCTTCCGATTCCATTAAATCCTTTATTTTAATATAGAGATCACAGATTTTTTCAATAAATCCAATAAGTGTTGAATAAGATTCTACCAGTTCTGATTTTAAATACGACTTCTGTTGTACATCGGATGTTGTTTGAACATTAGTAATTTCCAATTCTAAATTATTCTAAAATTTAGTAACTTTGCTCCTGAGAATTTTCCTGTCAATTTTTAGACGTTCCATCATTCCAGCTAATAATCCTATCCTGGTCACGGCACCAATTAAGGTAACATATGATTTATTCACTTCCTCACACTATTCCATCAAAACCAAATCTAACAGTTTAAAAGTTTTAGATGCTAAGATACGAAGTAACGTCATCAAGATGTAACGTCACCAGTTTCAATGATTTCGTGACAAATTATGACGACATGTGGACGTGATATCCCAACAATAACTCTCCTTCTAATTGAGCTAGAACGTTCAAACTTGGTGTAGGTGTTTATTAGGCCAATGTCTTGATGGAGTTCGAAGATGAGCATTTTTAAAATACCTTTATTTGGACGTTTTGTAAAGGTGACGTATACTTAAATCTGTCTTTTTTTTTAATATTCTCTGCGAAATTAGATATTTTTCTCTGCTCGTAGCGGGATGACCGGTCAATCCTCTTGCAAAATGCTTGCCATCGATGAAAAGCAGAGAATCTATAGTTTATAAATACAGTCCACTCTGTCACATCCGACCTCTGATCACTCCGGCACTCTGTTATATCCGACACCGTTTTCATGTCCCGATTTATTTCCTTATTACTTCAGCCAAAAAATCTCTGGTTAATTCGACCTCTGTACGTTCCGGATTACGACATCAATCAGCCGTCCCGTCATACGATTTCCATTGAATCAACACCGTATAATCCGGCATCAATCGGTGGGTGTGAAGCAAACACTTACCGATCAATTATCCGTGAGATAAAAACTGGATGAGTGTGAAGCCACCAAAGATTGACAATCAATCACCAATCAATTATCTGTGAGATTAAAACTCGCTACCGTGGGTCTTTGTTGATTACTTTGATAATTTTAATCTCTTGTACAACAGTTGTGACAAATACTCAAGAATATCCACGAATTTTCCCCCGAATTCACAGTCGTAAATAGATTTCCTAGCACCTGTTGGAAACATTTGTTGCGCATGCCAATTGAACCTGAATAACCTATAAGTTTGGTCACCCTACGGATCTCTTCGACCCGTTTGACGTTGACCTGGGGATGCTCGATTCACAGTCCGGAATGTCCCGAATTGACAGAATTTCAATCGAGTGACGCAGAATTCAGTCCTGTCACAGTTCTGTTAGTCCCGATGACGGAGGTGGTTAAGTAGAATTGTGACGTAATTAAACACGACGAACAGGTTTCGGCTGCATGGTTGGATGATATATTTATATATCCAGTCGACGCATGCGTTGTAGCCCGAAGTACCCATTTTATGTACAATCGAGTACGCCCATTATCAATGAGCACGTGATAGCAAAGACAAGAGTGCGATCAACTGAAGACGGCGACCTAGTCACTATTTTTGAGATTGAGAGAATTCAATTCCTGAACGTTCAATCGAGTACGCCCATTATCAATGAACACGTGATAGCAAAGACAAGAGAGCGATCATCTGAAGACGGCGAAGAAGATAACTTAACGACAGACTTGAGCTATTCAAAATGCTTACGCATGTTAAATGAAATAAAAATTAATGTAATACAATTTTGAATGTACAGAAAAGGTTTATCATTTTTAAAGGGAATAACATTCAGGTGATTCAAAGTTCT